CGCACGCACGCACGCACACGCACACGCACACGCGCACGCGCACGCCCACGCACACGCACACGCACACGCACACGCACACGCACACGCACACGCACACGCACACGCACACGCACACGCACACGCACACGCACACGCACACGCACACGCACACGCACACGCACACGCACACGCACACGCACACGCACGCACTCGCACACGCACACGCACACGCACACGCACACGCACACGCACACGCACACGCACACGCACACGCACACGCACACCCCCACACGCCTGCCCGCTGGCGCACGTACGCAAACACGCACGGACGCACGCCCACGCCCACAAAAAATGCAGCAGACAAACAGATTAATAATCATGACAGAAACACAGCAAGGCGGGCACCACTTCCATATAACTCAGTGGGCGCGATGTTGCCAGGAATACATTCAATCGAGACCGTTGTGAGATCCCGGATCTCAGAGTCAGAGTATCACGGATTAGTTGTTAGTGTCGCTCAATTGCTGCGGTTGGAAGCATAGGGACAGGGTCAGCGCTTTATGCCGTGCATCACGGCTGGAGTGCCCTTTTGCAAGGACTCTGCTGAGGCCGAGGCAGCTGAGATGCTGCAGGAGCTGCTGATGAAGGACAGGCCGCGGGGTTGGCAAACCAGAAGGTTGGTCCGCTTTTTTTGCAGGTAGCATTGCCTCCACACCAGGCCTCATTGGCTCACTAGCAAGAGACTCGAACGCGCTGGTTGGGAGCGGCTTTCTCGCCAGCAAAGCCGCGCTTCTAGATCGTCCAAACTCAACTCAGGGCTAAGTGGAGATGCTTTTCTTCCTTACAGCGTAGTCTTATGCAAAAGGTGTGAATGAGTCTAGGAGCTACCACCATTGCTTCAAGACACCTAAACAACATCTGGGAAACGAAGTGCACAACCACAGATGCCCACACATTGATGGACTGTATGCCGCAGATTGGGCAGGGCTTTAGGCGTGACCGTGTTTCTCCCCGCCATCAGACCGGCCGGACATACCCTGCCTGGGCTGAATCGCCAGTCCTGGATTGGCATGATCCAGGCTTTGCCTCCTGCAAATATGCAATCTTTTTGCGCAGATCATGACGCTTGGCCGATACCATCGACACTGCCTAGTACTATCATGCCTTGTTTGGCAGAAAGCATCTAGTCCGACTGATGTCAAGCCATTGGAACCCTGACGTAGCGTCAGGATGTAGTGCGGCAGCAGCAGATCAAGAAGACCAGGGTGTCCCTTCCGAGCTGGGAGCCTGCGGGGGCCCTTAAAAGGGGCGCGATGGGAAGCTGGGCAATTCAGATGCCTTTTACCCGTGGCACCAACTGATGAAGTCTGCCCTTCCTAGACAGGCAGACGCAAGAGGCACTAAAATCGGACTACGACTGACCAAACCAGGAATCAGCTTTGCAAGAACACAAGCCGTGTCATTGGACACTTCCCGCCACTCAAGCAACAAACGAATTCAATTCAACGCGACGACCAGATCAACCCATCCGCCACCTCCCAGCCACACTGGCAGCCTCCCGCCTTTGAACGCACGGCCCTTAGCTAAGGTGCTAGAGGCAGAGCCGGAGAGACCCGCAAGCCAGGCCAGGAGTTGCATGTCGTCCAATTATGCGCTGTCGCCGTGCTTTCTTGCCATTCCTTTCTGCAGTCCGTTCCTTCAGGATCCTTTGCTTTTTGCAGACCTTTCAAGTTTTTGCGCTTTTGCAGAGTTCTTGGATCCTTATTCACTCTTGGCACGTGATGATGTAGCCCCTGGGGCGATCCGCGCAGGGGCCACAGCTCCCCTCGGCGGCGGTGGGGCGCATTTCGCCGAAGGCGTTGGGTGAGGTTCACGGGTTTCGATATGTCCATGCGAGGGTTCTATGATAGATTCCAATTTCTGGGGCTCTCAGTTTTTCTTCTCTTTCCTTATCCACTCTTTTCGGACTTATTTGATATATATATATATATATATTTTGTGCTGGAGCGACTTCACGTCTTGCGCCAGTCGCCATCGTCGCCCATGCTGCCCCCGAAGCTCGAGGAGGTCTTTGCCAACAGTGCGGCGCCAAAGCGCTCGAGCCGAGCTCCGGACTCCGATCCGACGGGGTGCGACGGTGTGCATCACAGCCCGAGCAGCAAGAAAGACTCGTGGGTCAAAGTTAAACCAGGATATGGACTGCAGGTTTTGGTCCATGTTTCCACAGGGCAGCTGAGAGCCCCTGAGGTCCAACTTTGTCGCCGGAGCATCACATTGAGCCGGAAGCAGAGATCCTTCAGGGCTTCTTGGATGAGACGAGATCCCGATCCTTGGCAGGGAGAGATACGCATTCGACTCCAGCTTGCAACTTGTCTCAGGACCGGTGCACAATTTGGAAGCCAAAGCACCACTAGATCTCGGGAGGTCATCTCCCATCCCGATCAATCTTCTAGATTTGCTGATCATCAAGCCCCGCAATCGAGATCTTCCACTAGGTCCACAGGATGTTCTAGATACAAGAGCTCTGAGATCTAGATCTTCAGCTGCCTGTCTGAGTGAAACACTGCTGTACGATCCTGTGCGATCATCTTGAGACTTTGACCTCTAGAGCCTCTAGTCAACTGCAGATCTGTTCTGGACGTTCTATATGGCTGTTTGGCCTCTGGATCCAAACCTGAGTTAACAGCTCGACGCCCCCAACTCCCAGATGGGGGCGCGTTTCGATGGTTCCTCAGGCGAGGTCTTCCGGAACTTACAAGACGGCGGCGAGATCGCTCGTGGCCCGGCTGCAAGCCGTTTCAGCAGGTCCATGTCTCACACCTCAACCTTCCCACATTGACCAGTGGCCAAGGCCAAGACCTCATCGCGGCACTGAAGATGATGGGCTGCTTGGTTCATGACGTGTAGATCCCTTTGCCCCGCAACAATGGGCAGATTCCGCGTGTTTCTTCCTGGTGAAGAGTCACACATGTCATCTGGATTGCACATTGCTTTTTCGTTGCGAGTGGTCGAGCAAGCAGCCAGGAGCATCCTTTGGACATATGTTGCCAAGCAGGAGTGCTTGGAAACAGAGTATCATCAGGCCTTTCCAGACCTAACCGCGCCTATTGCGGACGTCGATCGCACCCTTGGTGCCTGTGAGTTCCATGAGCTTGTTGACGAGCCACCCTCAACCATCACCCGCTTGGTTGTGTGACCGCGTTGGAGACCCACGCCCTTTTTGGGAACAACTGGAACAGATGGCAGCTTGAAACCAAGGTCGCCCGCCATCACCCGCCCAAACAAGAGTTTATTATGTTCGAGGCGGTTGTCAGCACAAGCGAAGTCAAGCAAGCTCAGAGTATTTTGGAAGTGGTCTATCTGAGCCTCAACAGCACCTCTTTTCTGATATTTGACATTCTATGGTGGGAAGCAGCCCAAGTTTTGGCTATGTGGGTCAAACATGCAACTCACTGCTTTCCTTGCAAGTAGCGGCATGTCTGGATTTGTTAGATACATCGTGGTCGAGCAAGGCCACGAGGTCATCAACAACGAGTGGGTCAATGCCATCGTGAAGGATAAGTTCTCGGACAGGAATTTCCTCGATGCGTGCCTTGCCAGGGGATGGAATAGATAGAAGTGGCAGCACATGGGGGCCTCACTGGCAACACGAGGTACGACTTCAGCAAGTTCCTACAGGAGTACGAAGCTTGCCACATGAACTACGTGCGTATGAAGTTTGCGGAGGCACAATTGGTTTGACGTCTATCACAGCGTGTGGTGAAAGGGACCAGGTCTTCTGACAGCTAGGCACACACCTCTTTTCCCGTTTTAATGGAGGCCCCAGAGGCGCAAGCCACGCCTCTGCAGGCCAGTTGCACAGGAACGCCTGCAAACTTGCTATCGATACAGATAAGTGTTGCTTGGAAAGTATTGACACGTTTTTTTGCAATCAGCCTGTGCTTCCATGTGGCGCACATCTCTTTCAAGCCAGCGGATCGCCCAACAGTTTCTGATCGCTTCTCCCGCAGCTAGGAATCCACTCTGTTCTGCTCCGTCTCAGTCCCCATTTCCCAACGACAGGCGGACACGGACGGCTCCGGCCGCGTGGACGCTGCGGAGCTGGCGGAAGTGCTGCGGCGCGCTGGGCTGACGCCTGTGACAGGCAACGCAGCCCCGTGTCGAAGCGTCGGAATCTTCGTATGGGATCCAGGCGTGGTGGAGTCGCTGATTGCAGAGCTGTGCGGCCGCGCCAAAGAGGTGACCTTCTCCAACTTCGCGAAGATCCTAGGAGCCTCGCCGGTGTAGCGGCGTAGCGGCGTAGCGGCGTAGGCAGAGCTTGGTGCCTTCAACACAATGGGGACGCGCTCCAGTCATTGAAGCGTGCAGCGTCATTCAGTTGGTGAACTGGAACAAACACCAACCACGGTTTCCAGTCGCGCGAGCCAAATGATGCTGCGCAGTGCCGGAGAGGTTGTTTGCTGCTTGACATAGAACATGTCGCGGTAAAGAGAATCTGAGCAACTAGGGTATCATCAGATTCCATCAGACGTTCAGCTCTTCAATTGAGCACGTCCCTGAACTGGCACAGATCTTAAACTAAACCCTCTGCCCTCCTCTTGCTTAGTGCCTCCCTCTGCCCTCCAGGAGTGTTGCGTTACCGCCTGGGCTTTACGCTGCAGGCGCACCTGCACCTGCTTTGCCTTGTAGGGATGTGTGGGCATCTCAGCAACAGGATCTGTAGAGCTTTGCAGAGGGCTGTTTTCTACTTTGAAGCCAGGGCCGTTTGGGTTGAACTGGGCATCAAGCAAGTCTTGGGCAATGCTCATGTTGAACCCTGGGGAGTCGTTTCTCAGCGTGTGGGTAAGGTTTATGTGGCAGGAGCCAATGAGCACCCTTTTTAACTGCAATCCCAAAGCTTTGCTGATTTGGCCGTATGCGAATTGCACACGCCCGAGAAGGTTATTAGCACTGAATCCAAAGCTTTGCAAACTAGCCGTGGCAGCGATTGAAGAGCAGGCTAGATAGAGGGCTTCCTATCT